GGCCCCGGTGTCCGGGCGGGACGGGGCAGAGGGGCGAGCAGGGAGGGGTCTCGGTTCCGCTACCCAGAGGGTGCCTGGGCCCACTTCTCCGCGGTGCGTTGCCCCCGGGGCACCCGCGATCTTAAATTTTCCCGAGAAGCTGGACGTCGAAGTCTTTGAGTCTTCTCCACCCGACCCTGCTCACCCTAGTTCTCTCTTTTCTCCTCAGATGTCTCTCCGGCTTCCTCCAGCTCTGGGACACTCATCCAGTACACCCCCGACTCTGCCACTAGCCCCACTGCAGAGCGCCCATCTCCCCATCCCTCTTTCCAGAAGGTCAAGGAGGAAGGTGAGGGTGTGGTGAAGAAGGCCAAGAGCCGCACAGCCTTCTCCCAGGAGCAGCTGCAAATCCTGCACCAGCGGTTCCAGAGCCAGAAGTACCTCAGCCCCCAGCAGATCCGGGAGCTGGCTGCTACCCTGGGGCTCACCTACAAGCAGGTGAACATCTTGCTCTGAATGATCTTGGGAGGGGTTTGAGATTTTTTTTGATGGTTTTGCTTTTCTCTCAGACCCCAGAGATGAGTTTCTTTTGTAGTCGTGTTTATGCCATTGCTTACGTGAGAGAGCAGAGGGTGTGAAAACTTATGACTCAGTCTTCCTCTTATGTTTGGTTCCAGCTCTATCCACCCACTCCGTGCAGGTGTTTGAAAGTGCATATGGAGCAGGGCTATGCAGAGTCAGGTTACCGTTCTATGTGGACATGTGTTGTCTCTGAATGTGAAAAGTCAGATACTCGCACTGCAATGCGAGTTGCCTTTCTTAGTCAGAGTGGCACCTGGGTCCCTCCCTAGAGAACGGGTCCTTGCCCCACCAGCTACTCGTGTCCGACTGAAGGAATGACATGCTCCTGAGTCAGCACTGATCTTGGCACAACAGTGAGATGCTGCTGCTGTATGAGCTGCATTTCTGCAGTTGTCTTGGCCTGTCTTTCGGGTAGGGTTTTTGGTGTCATGGAAGATCCCATGGTGATCTGAGGAGTAAGAGTGTTAGTTTTGAAGTCTTGGTTTGGTGATTCTACAGCTACCTGGGTCTGCTGCATATTGTTAGTTACTGAAATTATGTACAGTATTAGAAGCCAAGCAGCAACTGGATTGTAGAAGGCAAAACATCTTTAGGATGTCTAGTAAGCCCTGAGAATGAATTTCTAATGCTCTACATCCTTTCCCCATCACTTCTAGGTGAAAACATGGTTTCAGAATCAACGGATGAAATTTAAACGTTGCCAGAAGGAGAGCCAGTGGGTGGAAAAAGGGGTGTATCTACCACAGGTGAGAATTCCCCCTTCCCGCATCACCACCAGTCATGGTTCCTCCAGTCTGTGGGGTGAAGTGCATCATGTCCAACCTGCTAACTCGAACAATGCACATGACTCGATATTACCAAGCCAGTTGTATTTCTCGTAATAGGGCTCACAGTGGCATCTATTTTTAAGCCTGCCCTGGCACTGAAAGAGCTTTGTTTCCAGTCAGCTAATCTCCCACTTGAGACTAGATAGAAAACAAAATAGCCAAAGAGGGCCAGCAAGGCTGCTCCTGCTGTTTTTCTCCCCAGCCTGGTGCTCCCAAACACGTTGAGTTGGAGATGACTAACTTAAGATCTTGTCATCTCTGCTATTACCAGACTATAGTGAGGACAATGAGTATGAAAAACACTGCTGTTTGGCTTGGTGGGGGAGGGGGTGGGGGAGAAAGGAGGACCCATCCAAAAGAATGGGCACAGTTGGTGTGGTGCTCTGCATTACTGAACAACCTTCTCTGTCTCTCCTAGAATGGGTTTCATCAGGCTGCGTACCTGGATATAACCCCCACATTTCACCAGGGCTTCCCCGTTGGTGCCAGCAGAAACCTTCAGCCTGTGACCAACGTGCACCAGGCTTACAGCAGCAGCCAGACTTATGGGAATGGGCAGAGCCTGTACTCGTTTGTGGCTGTGGAGGATGAGGGGCTCTTTGGGAAAGGTGGGACAAGCTGCAATACCCAGCAAGCCATGGGTTTATTAAGCCAGCAAATGAACTTCTATCACGGCTACCCTGCCGATATGGATTATGTCAGCCTGGAGTCAGAAGACACCTACGGCTTTCAGAGCACCTCTGACAGTGTCACACCGTTCTCGAGCTCTCCTGTACGGCATCAGTATCAGGCCCCTTGGCATCCCCTGGGGACCCAGAGTGGTTATGAGTCTTAGGTCTAAGTATTTTTTTTCTCTTTCTCCTGTTTTCTGTCATGGGGTTTTTAAGGTCTTGACTCAGGGATCCAGTTTCTATTCCTTTCTCTCGCCCCTCCTCCCCTACTCCTGTTTTAACCATTGGTGGGGCTCAGCACCCTGCTGCCTTGGCCTAGTTTTCTCTTTAAAGGCACCTGTCTGTTCATAGCTAACCCTTGGCAAGGGTGTTTTGTGTGTGGATAGATGAAACTTCATTCACGGAGGGGAATGTGCAATGCCATAGCCAGGAGTAGCAGAGGTGGAAAAGGTCTGTGTTTGCTGTCCAAGTCTCACCTTCCTCTGCTGCCTCTTTAGCAGGTGATCTCTGATCCTTGCCCTGTGTGTCTTGCAGCAGAACTTTGCTGGAGAAGAAAACCCTGTACTTCAGCATATTTCTGCTAGAAATACCCTGTTGTAGCCCAGAATCTTCCCTGCTGTCTTGCCTATTTCTGTTGCTACCTCAGTCAGCTAATTGCTAATAGGTTGTTCATCTGCATCCTCTCCTCCCTCAACGACAGGCTACATGAGATCACCTGATTTCAGATGACTTGATCCACTTATTCTCAGCAACTCCTCCTGGAGGGGTCAGCACCTACCTACCCCTTGCCTGCTGCCCTCCTGTGTACATAGGGCAGCTGAGAGGAGGGAAGGAGCAGAGGAGAGAAAGTGGGGTAGAGTATTGCCCATACCTCACATGGAAAACTTTGGTTTCCAAAGCTGCTAACTCGTGCCTGTCAGCTCATTCAGGATGCTGTCTCTGGGACTGTCCCCACCCACTTCAGATCTTGTCTTCCTACATCTCTCTGCTGAGAGACTATTGGCTTGTACCAACCTGCAAACTGCAGCAGAGGGTAGCCCAAAGTGCCATTGTTGGATGTGTGTGGAGTGGCTGTGTGTAATCATCTTTGGAGTGGTAAGAACAGTCTGCTTGTCTGTACATGATGGTCCCCTAGCACTTCACAAACACAGCACCACTACAGCGCAGATTTCTCTGGGGGAGAGGCAGGCAGATAGGTAAAGGACTCGGTTATTTTAAAGGTGATGTTTAATGTCACTTATCCTGGAACCTGGGTGTTGGGTGTGGGTAATCCTGTTGGGTCTCAGTGGAGTTGTCATCCAGGGGGCTAGAGCAGCGTGGTTCCCCACACTTTTGTCTAATCCCAGTTTTAAGAGTGTAAGCTAGTAAGGTTTTTGTCCCTTCCCCAGGGCTTGGTTGGATCCCTCCTGTATTTTTCTGCTGAAAAGGGCACTGGCTACCTCATCTGACATAAGTACCCAAGCTCTGGGGGAGGCAAGAAGTTTAGAGAAACCTAGTTAGACCAAATGAGGAAAATGCAAATTAAAATTTACAGTTTCTTTTTTTAAAAGTAACTGAATCATCCTTTCCAGTATGGAGAAGCTATGTGAAGGTGATTTTTTTTTTTTACAAGATGTGGAATTGCAGAGTCCAGCCTGCCACTGCCCAAGAATACAAAATGGTATGAGCTGGCAAGAGTAAATGAGATGGTAAAAGCATAAATATTTCTGTGCTGGAGTTTTTTTGTGGTTAGTGCACAACTCTTACTGCAACTCTGTTTTTAAATGTCTGCACAAGGGTTGTATGTTGCAGTTAAACTTTCCCTGCAAAGGAGGTGAACATTTGTTGTTGTTCCAGAATAATTTTTCTTAAAGTGTATTTTCTTGCAGTGATCTCAAGCATGTTTTGCGTTACATGCACGTTGTCTTATTATTTTGTTTCTGTTTAATGTTTTTTACAAACTTGTTTGAATTGAAAATAAATTACTTTATTTTAATGTTGAAACAGTGTCGCTAGCTTGCATTGGAACAGCCTGCTATGAGAATGATGGTCTAACCTGTGCAGAACAACCAGTACTGAGGAAAGAAGGAAAAAACTAACCCTACTGTGTTTCTCACAGAAGTAGGATCAAGCAGGATCAAGCAATGGTTTAAAAGGAGTAGGTCACAGAAGACCATCAGCCTTGTTTTTAACATGCCAGGTGTGTTGCCTAGTGCAAGGGGGGGGCTCCAGGGTAGGCAACTGGACCGCTAGCTGCTGGTTTGCAGTAATGTGCAGCCCCATAACATGCTTGTATTAGGCCTTAAACAGCAGTGCTTCAGAGTAACTATTTACGTATGAGGGTAGGAGCAAAAGAAAGTATATTTTGAGGTTGTGTGGCCACCTGCAGCTGCTCCAGAAGTTCACAGCTGGAGGTCTGGAAGTCCTGCCTCATTGAGGCTGCAGGTCTCTTGGGATTCTTGTGGTAACCTCAAATGGCAGCAGAAGTTTGTGTGTAGGTAACTGAATCCTGCTTCCTGCACTGAAAC